GAAGTCCTGGGGAAAGTAACTCTTTGTAGTACTGATAATGAAAAAAGCTGCTTTGGACAGGGATTTGCAAATAATTTTCAAGAAACAGAAACATATACTAATCGTCTTTGTCCTTAGGACTGTTTCAAAAAGAAAGAAAAAAGCCAGCAGCACAAAGCCATCCTGAGGCGTGACTGAACTGCACTCATACATTTAATTTAAAGATCCAAAGGGCAGGGTGGCTAAGTCATCGGACCCCTGTGCTGTTATAAAAGGAGCAGAGGAGGTCACACGTGCGCTCATGAGTTAGCAGTCTCCAGGGCCTTGCAGGAGAAAACCTGTCTCTAGCAAGCATGGATTTTGTCAGCCAGAAGGCCGCATCCAGTCCTGACTGCCTTGGGGACACAATGTAACCTGCTCGGCAGCTGGACCATGTCCTTGTACAGATTTATGAATTGACATAGTGCCTCCCTGAGCAACAGGTGAAAAGGCTCCCCCTGGCTTCCCATTCCAGCCAAGCCTCCGTGGTCTCCTGGGCTGCAGCTTGGAGAACAGGCTTGTGGGACACAGAAGGGCCTGGCTCCTGATGCAGAGGGAAGCCGGGCCTGCGAACGGGGCAGGCAGCAGAGACCCTAAGTCAAACAGCAGCGGCACCCAGAATGAGGAGAAAGGTAACACGCAACGTGGCGAACTGATGAGCCTGGGGGCCACGCCTGGGAAGTTTCATGAATTGTGACTTGCACTGAGCTGTCCTTCTGCTAATGAACAGAAGCATTAGTGGGACAGAGGGACAGACCCCAGGGACAGCAGGAGGAGGATCTGATGTCCACTGTTGAGGGGGAAAAATAGCCTTTTTTAAACAAAGGTGGAGTATAAGCTAGGAGGGAAAAGAAAACCAACTAGCGCTATCCACTGTGTGGTGTTTCCAGATGTCAAACCTCATTTTAGTTTCAGAGTCCCGAGAGGGGCGTTAAAAGCCCTTCATTCCGCATCATCTGCTTTCTCAGGAACTAAGCCTTGGAGACCGTAAGTGGCTGGTCAAGGTCACCAACCAGGAAGGGGTGGAGTCTGGACCGGACCCAGACCGTGCAGAGAAGGGAGGCGCCCAGCCACCATGGGACAGTCCCCCAGCACTTGCCTGGCTCTCAGGCACACGAACCCAGGTCTAGAGACCACTTGAGGGGCCCCACGGGCATCCGCAGACGGTACTCACCACTCCTCCGTGATCCGCGTCTTCAGCTCCGGCAGCAGGAACTGCCCGTGGAAGCGGTGGATGGAAGAGATGTTCGAGAATATGCCCGTGATGACTTCTGGAGGGATCCCCGCATCCGTCAGCCTGGTGCAGAAAACCTGAGCATAGAGAAGCCCACGTGTGGCCAGTGAGCCTCTTCCGCTGAGCACAGCTGCGTCCCGCTTCGGCCACAGGTGAGGGCGCTCGGGAGGGGCCGCTGCTGCCACCTTGTGTTTTCTTAATGAACTTCAGAATTATTGTCCTCCCTTTTCATCGAACTGGTTCAGACACCCTCATGGTGTTAATGCAAGCTCACTTATGGCTTAGGAATGTGGGTGCGGCAGGGACAGTCCCCTGAGGACAGGGAAGGACATCTTTCCTTAGCCACCTCTCACGCGAAATGGAAGGTTCAGACTTCCTTTTCTGTCTCGTCAGATAAAAACAGCAGCAGCACCGTCTGTCAAAACCCCGGCTTCCACAGGTGCTTTATTTCCTGAGCTCATAAACCCCACATTGTCATGTGGATAGGGATGAGTGGCAACCCCTGTCCCGACTATTTATGCAGAAAAACATCCAGAAGCCATGTACATGCTCAGATCATGCAGCTGCCAGGATGAAATGTCCCACAGGTGACTTGGCAAAGCCTTTTCCTCAGAGCCATAAGCACTGAAAACAAAAAATAAGTTTCTAGGATGGGCGTGCTGGTTCACACCTGTAATCCAGCACTTTGGGAGGCCGAGGCTGGTGGATCACCTGAGATCAGGAGTTCAAGACCAGCCTGACCAATGTGGTGAAACCCCATCTCTACTATAAATACAAAAATTAGCCAGGCATAGTGGCATGTGCCTGTAGTCCCAGCTACTCGGGAGGCTGAGACAGGAGAATCACTTGAACCCAAGAGGCGGAGGTTGCAGTGAGCCAAGATCTCACCACTGAACTCCAGCCTGGGCGACAGAATGAGACTCTGTCTCAAAAGAGAAAAAAAAAAAAAAGTTTGTAGACCAGACTTAAATTTGTCTGAGTTTTAGTATTTAAGTCATTCATACTGCACCTGTAATGCCCAGCCAATGCTAAGAGATACTGAAACTGCCAACTGAAACTCTGGGAGTGGACTAAGGTGGGCCCCCAAGCCACGTGGGCTACCTGGTCCAGCAGGTGCAGCCGCCTCACATAGGTCTCCTCGGTGTGCAGGAGCTCCTGGGCAATGTGGAGAAGCTTCTGCGGGCCAGAGTGCTGTGGAGAGAAGAGATGCAGCTCACCTGGGGAAGATGAGCCTTGGGGAATCGGCACCTAACAGGCTGCCACTGTGTGCAGGAGAACCAGGGGCCATGGGGGCGGCAGGAGGCCACAGGGGCAGGAGCAGGGACAGGAGGGGGCCACTGTGATGGCAATGTGGTGCTCAGGTCTCATAGATGATATTCGCATGGAGGATTTTGGGAAAAGCACAGTAGTTTCTGGCAGTCCCCCAAAAGCCTCTCTAGCCCAAAGATAACACCCTCCTGGGCCTTTGACTACAGAGCAGTTGCAGCAACCACCTCAAAATATATTGGAGAGCAAAATAAAATTAGCTACAAAGAAACAGAAAAATGTAGCCCAATCAAAGGAACAAAATAAAAAACTCCAAAACTGATCCTAAGGAAACACAGATCTATGAGCTGCTTGAGAAAAAAAACATCTAAATAGTTGTCATAAAGATGCTCAATGAGATAAAAGAGAACAGAAAGATGATTAAAAAACAAAATCAGGAAATGATGCATAAACAAAGTGAGAATATCAACAAAGAGACAGAAACTATTAAAAAGGACAAACCAGACATTCTGGAGCTGAAATACACTTTAACTGAACCGATAAATTTTTAAGAGGGGTTTGATAGCAGACTTGATCAGGCAGAAGAAAAAGTCAGCAAACTCGAAGAGAGGTCATTTGAAATCAGAGAGTTAGATAAGAAAAAAAAAAAAAGAAGAGCAAGGAGAGCCTAAGGGATGTATGGGCCACTATCAAGTAGATCAATATATGCACATGTAAGTTCCAAAGGAGAAGAGAGAGAAAGGGGCAAAGAGTTTATTTACAGAAATAATGGCTGAAAATTTCCCCAATTTGAGGAAAGCAATGGACTTAAAAATTCATGAATCCCAAAGACCTCCAACTGGAGTAAATCAACAGAGAACCATATCAAGACACTATATAACTGTCTAAAGTCAAATATACAAAGAAAATCTTGAAAGCAGTGAGAGAAAAGTAATTTGTCTCACATAAGGGTCTTCCATAAGATTATCAGAGGATTTGTCAGTGGTAACTTTGCAAACCAGAAGGTAGAGGGAGGATACATTCAAAGTGCTCAAAGGAAAAAAAACAACTGTCAACTAAGAATATTGTATTTGACAAAACTGTCCTTCAAAAATGGAGAAACAGGCCGGGCGCGGTGGCTCAAGCCTGTAATCCCAGCACTTTGGGAGGCTGAGACAGGCGGATCACGAGGTCAGGAGATCAAGACCATCCTGACTAACATGGTGAAACCCCGTCTCTACTAAAAAATACAAAAAACTAGCCAGGCGAGGTAGCGGGCGCCTGTAGTCCCAGCTACTCGGGAGGCTGAGGCAGGAGAATGGCATAAACCTGGGAGGCGGAGCTTGTAGTGAGCTGAGATCTGGCCACTGCACTCCAGCCTGGGTGACAGAGCGAGACTCCATCTCAAAAAAAAAAAAAAAAAGAAATGGAGAAATAAATACTTTTCCAGTTAAACAAAAGCTGAGGGAGTTCTTTACCATTAAATCTGCTCTAAAATAAAAAAGATTAAGGGGTCCTTTATGTTGAAACAAAAGGATGGTAAAAAGCAACATGAAACCACATGATAATATAAGGTTCTTAGTAAAGGTGAACACATGGATAAATACGATAATTTGTACTATTGTCCTTTTGGTGCATAGAATTTAAATTACAAAAACATTTAAACATTTAAATCTATATGAATAAATAAAGATGAACTCATGATATCAATAACAGCAGGGAGAGGGAAGTGAAATTGTAAAAGAGTTTTTGCATGTGATTGAAGTTGTTATTAGTTTAAAATAGAATGCTATGACTTTAAAATGTTTTACGTAATTGCAATGGTAACTACAAATAAAATATCTATAGATAAAAAAGGAAACGAGAAGGAAATAAAACCCTATCACTACAAAAAAATCGATGAAACACAAAGAAAGGCAGTAAGAGAGTAAAGGAGGGACACAAAAAACCTATAAGACATACAGAAAACAACCAAATGGCAGTAGTAGGTCCTTTCCTATCAGTAACTACTTTAAATGTAAATGGATTAAACTTCCCAATCAAAAGACATATTGGCGGCTGGGCATGGTGGTTCACGCCTGTAATCCCAGCACTTTGGGAGGCCAAGGTGGGGGGATCATGAGGTCAGGAGTTTGAGAACAGCCTGACCAACATGGTAAAACCGCGTCTCTACTAAAAATACAAAAATTAGCCAGGCATGGTGACATGCACGTGTAATCCCAGCTATTCAGGGGGCTGAGGCAGGAGAATCACTGGAACCCAAGAGGCGGAGGTTACAGTGAGCTGAGATTGTGCCACTGCACTCCAGCCTGGGCAACAGAGCAAGACTCCATCTCAAAAAAAAAGAAAAAAAAGACATAGTGGCTGAATGGATTAAAAATAACAGCCTCCAACTATATGCTGTTGACAAGAGACTCTCTTTAGCTATAAGGACACATATAGGCTTAAAGTGACAGGATGGAAAAAGATATTTTGTGCAAATGGTAACCAAAAGAGAGCAGGAGTGGCCATACTTAGATAAAATAGACTTTACAGCAAAAACTGTTACAAGGCTGGATGCAATGGTATACACCTATAGTCCCACCTACTCAGGAGGTTGAGGTGGGTCACTTAAGCCCAGGAGTTCGAGGCTATCCTGGGCAACATAGTGAGACCTTGTACCAAAAAAAAGAAGGAGAGTGACAGCAGTAAGATGGCTAAGTAGAAACACCTGGCATTCCCCTCATCCCAGGAAAAGACTAAGGCATAAAAAACTAAGATTTGGCTGGCACTGGAGTGAGTGGTGGAGCAGAGATGCACCTGTGATGACTGGGAGAGCAGTGTGGAGGCACCCAGCCTCTAGTGGTCCCATCTCCCTCCAACCAGATAGCATCTATCCAGAGTCAGGAGGGACATTCCTTTGCAGGGAAAAAGTACAACACGAGAGAATCCCACATTCCTTGCAAGCCCCAAGCCCAGTTTGGAGAGCTGTGAGAATTCGCACAGCTACATCGCCCAGATTAGGATCACAAAGTGTACATGCCCCACCCCCACAAGCACCCACTGTGAACCAGGCTGCTGTGGCATGGCACCATCCTGAGACCAGAGCCACCTCCAGAGTGCTCCAGGCAGTAGCTACTGTACCTCTCCAGCACTGGGGCTCCATCTCCATTCCACAAAGACTACATGAGTGGTTGAATGCCACAGCCCCAGCTGCATAGAGCTTGGGCCCAGGATCAGCTGTGACTCTGTTCCTGCACAGCAGGGAAACCAACCCTCACTGCCACACTTTCAGCTAAAAGAACAGTCTGCCATTCCAACCCAGGAGGAGCTCAAGCAATCCTCCCAGCTATTCTTCAGAAAGGAAGGAGGAATAAAATCTTTAACTGACAAGCAAAAACTAAGGGAATTCATCACCACTAGACCAGTCTTATAAGAAATGCTCAAGACAGTCTTATATCTGGAAGTGAAAAGACAATAAACACCATCGTGAGAACATGTAAAACTATAAAACTCACTGATAAAGCTGATACACAAAGAAGGAAAGAAATGAATCAAACCTTATCACTGCAGAAAACCATCCAACTACAAAAATAAATAATGAGAGGAGGTAAGTAACAAAAGATATACAAAACAACCAGAATGCAATCAATAAAATGACAGGAGTTAAGTTCTCACCAATCAATAATAATCTTGAATGTAAATAGATTAAATTCCTCCATTTAAAAGATAAACTAGCTGAATGGATCAAAAAACCAAGACCCAACTATATGCTGTCTACAAGAAACTCCCCTTACCTGTAAAGACATAAACGGAAAGTCAAGGGTGAAAAGACATAGTCCATGTAAACAGAAACCCAAAACAAGCAGGAGTAGCTATACTTATATCAGATGAAGAAGACTTCAAGTCAAAAACTATAAAAATAAAGAAAGACATTACATAATAAAGGGATTAATTCAGGAGGAGAATATAATTATAAATATATATGCACTGAATACCAGAGCACCTAGACATAGAAAGTAAATATTATTAGATATAAAGGAAAAGATAGATCTCCAACACAATAATGGTTGGAGACTTCAACACCCCATTCGCAGTATTAGATAGATCATCTAGACAGCAAATCAAAGATACATCAGATTTAAACTACACCATAGAACAAATGGACCTAACAGACACTTACAGAACATTTCACCCAACAACTGCAGAATACACATTTTTCTCATGAACACATGGAACATTCTCCAGGACTGACAATATATTAGGACACAAAACAAGCCTCAAATTTTTTTAAATCAAAATTATATTAGGTATCTTATCTTACCACAATGGAATAAAACCAGACATCAATAACAAGAGAAACATTGAAAGCTATATCAATATATGGAAATTAAATAACATGCTCCTGAATGACCAATGGATGAAGGAAGAAATTAAGAATGAAATTTAAGGGCCAGGTGGCCTTTACAATGGCTCACACCTGTAATCTCAGCACTGTGGGAGGCCAAGGCTGGCATACTGCTTGAGCCTAGGAGTTTGAGACCAGCCTGGGCAATATGGTGAAACCCCATCTCTACAAAAAATATAAAAATTAGCTGGGTGTGGTGGTGAGTGCCTACAGTCCCAGCTCCTCGGGAGGCTGAGGCAGGAGAATAGTTTGAGCTAGGGAGGCAGAGGTTGTGGTGAGCCAAGATTGCGCCACTGTACTCCAGCCTGGGTGACAGGGTGAGAC